AAACTTATTAAGATTGACATGTTGTTACAACAGCCTTGTCAAACTGCATGGCATATGCAGCACAAAGCAGTCAATATAGCTGTAAGAGTGTCAGCACAGTCTGTTGAAAACTGTTTACTCGCAGCAGGATTACAGCAGAATTGAGTCAGGACTGCATCAGAACCACAGTAGAATTGCAGTGGCTTTACAGTGGGATAGCAGCAGGGTCACAGCAGACTTGCAGCAGGATTACAGTAGGATTGCAGTAGTGTTGCAGCAGGGGTACAGCAAGATTACATGCAGGCATGCCTCAAACCAGAATTAAAATTTGCTCCCCATATTCTTGTGAGTGGATCATCTATGGGGATTGAATATTGCTCTGTAGTACCTATGAACACTAATGTGTATGTCCCAATCCCGATAAATATGTTAGACACTATTGTAAATGGGGGTAATATGCTGTCTAAGTAGTCCATCACTAGCAGTGGTTTACCTACTTCATGATGCTGGTGAGTATTGTATTTTGTTGACATTATAAAGTATACCATTTAATTTCCAACCTCCGTTTTGGTTATTCCTCACTCAGTAACCCTTTCTAGGTTACAAGTACTCAGTGGTGAAATGTATTATACTCCACTGCAATTAGATCTCTTTCTGGTTCACTCTACTAAAATATCAGCCAGATGTAAGCATTAAAAATGCAAAACCCAGAATAACACTCTTATTATCACCATCGTGACTGTCCCTCTTATCATCGCCACCATGACTGCCTCTCTAGTCATCACTATCATAAACCTCGGTCAATCCAATGTAATAGCCACCAGATTCTTGACTTCACCTGACTCATGATTTCTACATTTACACTTTGACAGCTTCACTATCACATTCCAGGCCTCTTTTGACATCACCCCCACAACCCCTTTTCTTTGATCAGGCTTCACTAATCCACTCCAGGTCTCTCTCATTGTCACCATTCAGACGACTAACACAACTTACCAATCCTTACCACGAATCAACCTCACCAATGACACTCCACTCATGCTACCACAGATTCATAGCTTCATAAACCCATTTCTGAGCTGCTACCCACACCTGGCCTACCAACAGGATCCATATCAACTAAACTAGGCAACTAAAGAACCTCATCAACAATCTTGACACCTTTTCACCTAATTATGCATATATTCTGAAAATTTATCAATACATGCCGTTGAAACTTTAATCCTTGTTTGTCTTTGCTTTTGTTATAACAAATGCAAGTTATGTCTGCATGTAAGGGATGGTTGTTTGCATGTGCAGTGCACACCAAGAGAGCAACAGGTTGTGCCTGTGTGCCATGGAAGAATATAGTCTGGAGGTCAAATTCAAATGTAAGTGTGATACTATGGAGATCCACGTAGAAGAGGAAGATGTGATTTTATATTGATCTCAAAGATTTCTGTTTTATAACCAGCAGATTTTATTTTTAAAATCTGGTCTTCTAAGTTGCATTCACTTTGACCAAAAAAAAGCGAGGAATAAAAGGAGTGGATGAGGATTTTTTTCAGAACAAGCGACAACAAACCAAACATTGATTATTTCCAGGTCCCAGTCCATATTAACAGTCAAGTTTGGGATCGGTGGCATAGGGAGATCATGGTTCTCTCCATCTTCTGTTCCAATATTACATTTAGAAGTTTTATTTAGCAGTTCACCTGTGTGGATGGGCAGGTGATACTTGAAGCAACATGACACATAGAAAGAGAATTGTTAAGAAACAGAAGACATTTTGTGTCTGTTATATTTAATGATAATTAATAATATCAACATGATATTAATATTTAATATTCATTAAATATTAATTATTAATATGATATTAATATTTAATATTAATTAAATACTAAAGTTGGCTCTCTGTGCCATGCCAGGAAATTTTTCTCCCCAGAATCGATACTTCAAATATACAAATCAACCATTCGACCTTGCATGGAGTATTGCTGCCATATATGGTCTGGGGCACCTTCTGTTTACCTCGGAGTTCTTGACAAGATCCAGAGACGGATATGTAATATAATTGGCCCTGATCTGGCATCTCGTCTACAGTCACTCTCTCACAGACATGCCGTCGCCTCTTTCTGTCTTTTCTACAAATACTTTCATGGTAATTGCTCCGATGAGCTGCTTTCACTGGTTCCCAGACTCCGTAAATTCAAGCGCCCTACGAGGCTGGCATCCTGCTCCTACCCTTACACTGTAGAAACTTTTAAATGTAGCTGTCTCTTCTACTCCAATAACTTCATACCTCGCACCTCTCGCCTGTGGAACACCCTTCCCAATTACTGTTTCCTTGAGAGCCATAATCTCCAACTATTCAAATGTTACCTTGATCTATCTACTACCACTCTCCTCATCCTTTCTTCTATCTCTCCTATCTGCTCTCACTCCAAATCTTCTGCAACCCCCCTGCATCCTAGTGGCTTCACGCCTTGCTCGGGGTGTAATGCTTAAAAAAAAAAAAATACTGCTTTTGAATCATTTCTTGTCTATGGCTTAACCCAACTTGGACATTGTCAATAGAGAAAACATTAAATGGTGCTTATGTAAAAATACAACGCAATCCTCACCCAAGCCTTCCATTGGCTGGCTAATGATTCCCCTATATTGTGTTGCGTTCTCATTCACATTGGTATAGGCTGAAAACTGGGAAAAGGCCTGCTGCATGCTCACAAGGTAGCAAGATGGAAAACAAATATCATGTCAAGGAGAACATGAACCCTGTTCCATTATTACATCTAAAAGTTTTAGCAGTTCACCTGTGTGAATAGGCAGGTGATAATTTAGACAACTTCTGCTATATTGATCTCATAGACCATCTCTTCCCCCTACCAACTCTTTGTTCATCTACACACCTCAATGTGGGGCTGGCAATACAAATGGACCCACGCAATGGACAAGTCCATCTCTCATATTGGGAAAACCAGAATTGACTCCACTGACACCAATTCTTTTGTACATATTTGTCTCAGGATACAATTTGGTTGATTTGTTTATTACTATTTGTCAACCCTTTGCAGGTTATTTAAAGTCAGAGAATATTTTTAGATTGTAAGAATTTGTCTTTTTACTAGTTTCCTTGTTCTGCCATCCATTTACAAAAAGTTCATTAAGTAGATTACTAGCTGCTCTCCTCTGTCCATTATGCCTTGTTTTCACAATCACTGAAGTGCCAGTCACACTTCACACTTTAATGTATCAGATTCTTCCATATTTTTGTGTGCTGCAGTTTTTTCTTTCTCATCATGAAATAGTTTTACAACGTATTCATTCCATCTTTGGAATATTTTTTCTTTTTCTTTTATGAGTGTTGCCTCTTTTAATTTATTGCAACCTTTTGATAAACCTGTCTTTTCTCCTTTATTCTTTTGTACATATTTGTCTCAGGATACAGTTTGATTGATTTGTTTATTACTGCTTATCAAGCCTTTGCAGGTTATTTAAAGTCAGAGAATATTTTTAAATTGTAAGAATTTGGGAGGGGTGAGATAATACATTTTTAGTGATACAAATCTTACTATTTAACCCATAGCTGAGAGGAGGAGAAGTGGCTTTATACTTTTCCCAAGGGTATTTGCACGTAAGCAAGGTTATAATACCACTAAGATGCAAGAAGTTACTGGGAGTGGAAGAGAATGAGAAGAATTTACTGAGAAGAAAGGACACTAAAAGAACAAGGTTTGGGAAAACAGAAGATGGCGATTGATATTGCATTTAAATTTTTGAAGAGTGTAGGTAGCAGGGAATGTGGTCACCCATCTAGGTACTGACTAGGCTCGATGTTGCTTAACTTTGGTGATTGTATGAGAACAAGTGTTTCAATGTGATAATGCCATAATACATTACATCCAAGCTTACAGTACATGGTCTTCCTATGTGGTCACCCATCTAGGTACTGACTAGGCTCGATGTTGCTTAACTTTGGTGATTGTATGAGAACAAGTGTTTCAATGTGATAATGCCATAATACATTACAAAATTTACATGGTCTTCCTATGTGGTCACCCATCTAGGTACTGACTAGGCTCGATGTTGCTTAACTTTGGTGATTTTCAAAAGAAAATTTCACAGGTGAGAAGTGCAAAAAAAGAAATTACAACAGAAATGTTTTAATTCCTGAACACAGTCAACACATTGTGGCCATGTTCATAATCAATATTATTAATAATTAGTCTCTTGTCCTTTATTTTTAAGGCTTCCATTATTTTCAAGTACCTTCTGCAGTTTGAGGAGTGTATTATATTGGTGTTTACCATGCTTATGTTGTGGATATATATTAAGAAAAAACGAAAGCAGCCTTGGTAATGGCTACTAGATTAGCCAAAAGTCCTTGTATCCAAAGATCGTTTGGATGATGCTTACACACTCTATGTTAAAAAAAATCCCCTGTAAACATTCTCCTAGTCATTAAAGCCCAAGCAAGGTGATAACGCCACTAAGATGCAAGGGGTTACAAGGAGTGGAAGAGAATGAAAAGAATTTACTGAAGAGAAAGGATACTAAAAGAACAAGGTTTGGGAAGGCAGAAGATGGCAATTGATGCTGCATTTAAATTTTTGAAGATTGTAGATGAGAGGGAAGCAAGAAATTGGAAGAGAATTTGCCAAGCGTATCTGCATATAAGGGAATATAAGAAACCCAACAGATATTGTAACTCAGCTCTCCAATTAACAATTCTGAGCCATTATCCATTACACCATCAGCACATCCAGGCTTACAGCATCTGGTCTTTTGAAATGGTACTGACTAGGCTTGATGTTGCTTAACTTTTGTTGATTGTATGAGAGCCAGTGTTTCAATGGGATAATGCCATAATACATTACATCCAAGCTTACAGCACCTGGTATTCCCAAACAGTCACCCATCCAGGTACTTAACTGGATTGACAATGCTTAACTTTAGAGATCAGCCATGATGTTGCTGAACTTTGATGATTGTATGAAAACCAGTCTTTCAAAGTGATAATGCCATCATCCATTACATCCAAGCTTACAGTATCTCGTCTTCCTATGTGGTCACCCATCTAAGTACTGACCAAGCTCAATGTTGCTTAACTTTGAGGATTGTATGAGAACCAGTGTTTCAATGTGATAATGCCATCATCCATTACATCCAAGCACCTGTTCTTCCTATGTGGTCACCCATCTAAGTACTGACCAAGCTCAATGTTGCTTAACTTTGAGGATTGTATGAGAACCAGTGTTTCAATGTGATAATGCCATCATCCATTACATCCAAGCACCTGGTCTTCCTAAGTGCTCACCCATCTAAGTACTGACCAAGCTCAATGTTGCTTAACTTTGAGGATTGTATGAGAACCAGTGTTCCAATGTGATAATGCCATCATACATTACATCCAAGTTTACAGTACCTGGTCTTCCTATGTTGTCACCCATTTAGGTACTGACTAGGCACGATGTTGCTTAACTTTGGTAATTGCATGAGAATCGGTGTTTCAATGTGATAATGCCATCATCCATTACATCCAAGCTTACAGCACCTGGTATTCCCAAGTGGTCACCGATCCAGGTACTGACCTGTATTGACAATGCTTAACTTCAGTGATCATACAGGAACCACTGTAAGCCATTATAATACCTGTTTAAATGTTAAGTAATATTGTCATTTAAGTAATGGAATAATTTAAAAATGCAGTAAAATTGTTTAATTCTTTTTAGAATGAGTGTACAATCAACATACGCTCTCAGAAAACAGCCGAAGCCCTTTGTTTTATTTTTTTCGTTTTTTATGAATACGTGAAAGTTGGTTTCTCGCAAATAGAAAACCAAATTTTTCTGGAAGAAGGGCAGTGAGCTTTATAAAGATGTTGCCCAGCTAGAATATAATTAAGGTGAAAAACATTTTTTGGTGAATCAGCCACAAATTTTGAAAAGAAACAGTTGGAAGAGATTTCTTGTTAGAGGTTTGCTTTGCAACATTGTCTAAAAGAGCAGGAAGTGCTGGAATAGGAGAAGAACAGAAGCAGGCATTGTTCCTATGTTCGACATTTGCTTCCTTATTAGATAATACGAAGAGAATGAGAAAAGATAAAGCCATGAACTACAGCTTTTTTTTTTTTTATTTTTCTTCTGATGTCATCATCTTTTTTCGGATTTTGTTCTTGATTTTCACTGCCTCGGTTCCAAATCCTGCTGTGATTTCTTCTTCATGTTTGTTTCTTCTTCTTCTTTTACTTCTTATCAAATGTCTTCTACTGTTCCACTCCTTTCTCAACATCTTATTTCAAAACCTGTTTCTTTCTTTTATTCTGCATACACCATTCATTGTATCCATTGATTTTCTTTTATTCTCTTCTTTTCCTCTCACTTATTTTTCTACTTTTTCCTTGTTTTTCTTTAATTTATCACTGACTTTTTTCTATTTTCATCTTCTTTTGTAAGTCTTTCTTTTTTTTTTCTTTATTTCTTTCATTTATTCCTCTGTTCTTTTCTTCTTTTTTCATTCTTTTTTATTTTCATCTCCTTTTGAAATCCTTCTTCCTCTTTCTTTTCTTTGCTTTTATAGATTCCTTCTTTCTTTTCCTCTTTTTCTTTCATTTACAAATTTTTCTATTTTCATCTTCTTTTGAAATTCTTCCTCATCTTTCTTTTTCTTTTTTTCTTTCATTTATTCTTTTTCTTTTCTTCCTTTTTCTTTCATTTACCATTTTTCTATTTTCATCTTTTAAAATTCTCCCTCATCTTTCTTTCTTTTCCTTCTTTTCTTTTATTCATTCTTTCTTTCTTTCTTTCCTTCTTTTTTGTTTACTTCTTTTTCTATCTTCTTCATCTTCTTTTGAAATCCTCCCCTATCTTTCTTTCTTATTTTAATTCATTTATTCTTTCTTTTTTTTCACTCTTTCTTTCATCTACCATTTTTTTCTTTTTTCATCTTTTAAAATTCTCCTTTTTCTTTCTTTCTTTCTTTTTCGTCTTCTCTTTTATTTATTCTTTCTTTCTTTCCTTCTTTTTTCTTATTTCCTTTATTTACTACTTTTTCTATCTTCATCTTCTTTTGAAATCCCTCCCTGCTTTCTTTCTTGTTTTTTGCCACTTTTTCATTTTCATTTTCTTCTTTTGAAGTCTTTTTTCTTCTTTCTTTCTTTCTTATTTTTCTTTAGCACTTTTTCTTCTTTTTCTTCTTTTCTTTCTTATTTTCTCTCATTTTCTTCTGTTTTTCTTTTTCTTTAATTTACCATTTTTTTCTGTTTTTCTCTTCTTTTGAAATCCTTCCTCATCTTTCTTTTTTCTTTTTATTCCTTCTTTCCTTCTTTTTTCTTTTTCTTTATTTACCACTTTTTCTATTTTCATCTTCTTTTAAAGTCATTCTTTCTTTCTTTCTTTCTTTTTTTTCTTTACCACTTTTTTTTCCATTTTAATCTTTTGAAGTTTTTCTTTCTTTCTTTCACTTATTTTTTTCATTTCCTTCTTTTTTTCCTTTGAAGTTCTTTGATCTTTCTTTCTTCCTCTCTTCATTTGTTTAATTCTTTCTTTTTTCCACTACTCCTCTCTTCCTCATTCCTTCTTTCAATTTTTTTTTCTTCGTCTTCTTCTTCTCATGCCGGCCACCTACCGATACATCAAGGAACACACACGCGCACACATGTACACAAAGAAAAAGTTCTCTCTTGAAAATCATGATTCTCACAGCAGGTAAAGTCAGGACAACAATGGAACATCAGAATAGCTTCAGATAAATTCACCACTGCATTCCTTGTATCAAGCCTTAGAAAAAATCCACCGAAATGAAATAACAACGAACAACACTCCTATTAAAGAAACCAAATTAAACAAAAAAAAAAAGTGTATCTGAAAAGGGGGAACAAAAATAGAAATTTAAAAGACACATAAAGGAAGCAAAGAAAGAAATGTCTAATGTCTTATTGAATCAATGCGAGCAGAAACAGAAAGCAAATTGAATAAGTGCCGAGAAACAGCACATTCCGAATTAATGATGTTGAGAGTAATTAATCGAAACTAACGCACATTTTAAGCTGAGCAGCCATGGTAGAAAAATTTGGAACTATAATGAAAGGGGTAAGACAGAAGACTTATGCTTAATCCTCTCAGGACACGAACGTGAGTATGCAGGCTGGCATATTCATGTGATATGACAGGTATGAGGAAGACAATCTTTGTACACACATTTTTTCTTTTAATTGGTATCACCCCCATGCAAGGTAGTAAAGCCACTAAGACACAAGAGGTTACAGGCTGTGGAAGAATCAGGAACAGAAACATTAATAATCAACAGAAAGAGAAAAAGAGTAATCAGGAGGACAGCAGATAACGATTGACATTGCATTTAAATTTTTGCTGATTAAAGTTGCCTGGAAAACAGAGCTGGAAGGGAGTTCCACAAGTGAGAAGTGTGAGAAAATAAACTGTTAGCATAGAATTTATGGCTACATCTAGCCAGCTCTACTGTAAATTGGTGAGATATCGATACCAATCTAGTACTGCTCTTAAATTCAAAATGTCTAGGTACCATAATGAAGAGCTAATTCAAACAATTACCATGAAATTATTTGTAGAAAAGGCACAGAGAAACAACCTTATGGTGGTGAGAAAGTGACTGTAGCTGAGCTGCCAGATCAGGACCAATAATATTGCTGATTCTTCTTTGGATTTTATCAAGGAACTCAAGATAAATAGCAGGGGCACCGAACAATATGTGGCAGAAATATTCTAAGCATGGATAATTGGTAGACTTATTTATATGTAAGATAGATTCTGAAAAAAAAAAAAATTTTCTTGCATGACACAGTGATGGTTTGCTTTGGTTTGTTTTATTTTACAGCATATCAACACCTCAATGGGTTATTTAATGTTGACAGGATTTTTATTGATGGTAACATTTTTTTTTAAAAATGTATTGTTGGTAATATTTTTTTCCAAAAATGTATTGCTGGTAATATATATATATTTTTAAGTGTACTGCTGATAATGTTTTGCAGGAAATAATTTTTCCAAAAAAGTATTGCTGGTATTAAAACCTATTTTTATATTTTCATACAGTTTTGACCCCTTTTGGGAGTTAACTATTTGCCTATAGCTGGGACCCTGTCAGGTGTTACCATCCCAGATCAGGGTGGACCTGGGAACACCAGCAATTAAGAGGTGGTTCTATGATCCTCAAAACCTCCTGATCAAAGCTTGCTGTTGGATGTAGTTTATTGTCTTATCCAGGATGCAGATGTAGTTTATCGTCATACCCAGGACAAATGACACAGTGAACCAAATTTCTTAGCAGCTGACCTAGCAAAAGATTTAATATAGCCTTTCCACTTCATGTCAGCTGAGAATGTTAGCCTGAAAAGCGCAATGAGTCACTTTTTGGAGGTTAGCATCAGCCATGCTTAATGGAAGGCAGCAAAGGGTCTCTCAGATGATTAATGTAGAGAATTTTAGTTTTGCAGGTGTTAAAATTAACAAGCCATCTTTTTCCTCAGTTAATGAGAGACTTGAGGTTATTTTCGATATTGACTGCCATTTTGACCTTGATCAAGACAGGTGTAAATGGTTGTGTCATCAGCCTAGATACCAAGTTGAGAGCTGATGTCATCAGGAAGGTTGTTAATGAAAATTAAAAACAGGGTAGGACTAAGGTATATCAGAATATATGCAAACCTAGAAACTTTATAAAGAAACACACAACCTCAGTCGACAAAAACAAGAAGATTAGATATACAACTACATGCCTAACAAGAAGACACACATTGCATCTCTCTGCACGTAGTTCATTTAGGTCTTATTTAAATACGCATGGAGACCTACTAAAACCTATCAGCAACATACACATTCACAATACAAATATTAGCCTCATGCACATTTAAAAAAAGGCTAAAAATAATGGAAGCATTATTGAAAAAAGGGAAGAACCAATACTTAATAACATCAACTTTGAACATGGCCACAATGTGCTGACCGTGTTTGGAAAATAAAACATTCCTATAACTCTAGATATATACATAAAAATCCATATATTCAGTTAAAAGTAAAAATTATCTCTGATAAGGTCTAAAAGAATAGCCAAAAGCACTTGGACATACAGAACATTTGAACAATTTCTACATAATTTATATAAGCTATATCTATGTGCTGTGTCATTTCAAGACATGGATGATCATGGCTCTCCACAACTTCCTATTGTTTAGAGCTTTTAGGAAGGTTTGTCTTTTCGCCATCCTTCCCAATTTGTGTTCTGTCATCCATTTACAAAAGCTTGCTAGGTATTTTATGCACTGCTTACCTCTGTTTGTCAATCTGCCCTGTGAGTATCAGATTTTCCAAGTCCTCCTTCTTGATTCCATACCTCAGAAATTTTAACTGCTTTGAAGTATAAGTTTCCTTTTTGTTTCCATTTTCCCTAAAACATATGTTTAGTTCATGGTATCCTCACCATGTTTTTGTAGAACCACATTTCTGTTGCTTCAAGTCTCTTCTTCATCTTTGAGGAGATTGTCCAGCATTCGCTACTATACAGGAGGACAGAGGAGCATTGATATTACATAAGTAGCAGTTCAGTAGTTTTTTTTGTTTAGCTTTTGGAAAGCATCTTTCACTATTCCAGTGTACCTTCGGATTTCTGTGCCACATTTTCTATCGTCTGTTATAGTTAAATTTCTGTATTTTTATGATTCTGATGTATCCAATTCATAGTTTGCATCTTTGGCTGTCTCTCTAGTTAACAACAATACATCTTGTCTACTTACAATTGCATATAATTAGCTTAAATAAACACACTGACAGCTGAAATTTGTTAAAGCAAGATTTTGATGGCATCTCTGCTTCAGAGCTTGATGAAGCTAATTGTAGTGCTTCAGTCTACTGTCTTCAAAACCCTTTAACTTAATGAAACTCCTTTTAGTTTCATGCTGGGGCTTCCCAGGTTTTCAGATCAAAGTTCAGACATATCAAGGTGTCTTTTAATTTGTCTTTGTAGCGTAAGAGTGGACATCCAACTGAACTCTTGGAGTTTGGTAGTTGTCCATACAGCACCTTCTTTGGAAGCCTCTGCTAATCCATACTCACAACATGACCAGCCCACCTAAGTTGTATCTTTGCTAGAATGGTTTCAATGCTTGTGATGTTGTTACATTTCTTCAGTATTGCACTATTCATGAACCTGTCATCCCATTTTATATCACGAAGACAGCGTATGTGAAAGACATCAAGTTGGTTTATGTGCTTGCAGTATAGGGTCCAGGTTTCAGAACCTTAGAAAAGGTTTGAGAGAACGACTGATCTGTATATGTCGATCTTTATTCTGAGAGACACGTCTTTGGTGTTCCATAACTATTGTTTAAGTTTACTGAATGTTGTGCTTTGTAAATATGTATATACTGTGGCCCGGCATTGCCCGTGCTTGATTCAAAAATCGTACGACTCATACAGCAATCGCTATCACTTGACTTAAAATAGTTTTGCCTTTCCTTGCCTTTAAAGGAGTGCCCTTTGCCGTACTGATGTTGCTGTATGCCTTACTTCTTGCCTATCTCACACTGCAAATTTTTTCTAAGCTCTATACTAAACATTAAATCTGTTACAAAAAAAGGACTAAACAAAATGAACACAAAAAATGATCAGGACTCATAACTGGTAAAACTGAATGAAAAAGAATGTTAACAACAAATACTTTTTCACATCCAACCCAGTTCTGCGAAATCAGAATCAACGTTGAGTTTAAGCAAGCAAATGAGCCAATTGGAGTAAAGTGCCATGCAGATTTAAATTTTTCCCACTTGTGACAAATGCAGCTATCGATTTTTTTGCATGCTAGTTAACATTTGTGTCAGTCAGTTGTTGGCTCTCATGCTGGCCAATAGAATCTTCCTACCTATTCGTGGCAACCAGCTATAGGCTCTCAATCTGACCAGTACAAAATGGCCACAAACTACATGAAAACTGCCGTAGAAGCATGAAAAAATCAATTATTTCCACTATCGATGGAAGTTGGGTCTTGGCCTTTCTGCTACCTTGGAGCATGTGCATGTAAATTTTGGTGCAAATCTGTCAAAAATTGCGTCCGTGCATTCGTTTTACACACACACACACACACACACACACACACATATCCTGCCTTTTATAGATAGAGATTTATGCATAAGTAGGTACACATGTGAGCATAAACTTAGTTATCCATGTTTAAATAGAAATTCATGTTTTTATATGGATATCAGACACACAGATATAGAAAAATGTACAATTGAAAAAAAAAAACAGAACATCTTTGCATATATTGATATAATAATAGGATTGTATGAAATATAAACATTTATTTTTGTTTCCTATTGGTTATTTTAAGGATCACAGAGCAGAACGGGCTGAATGTTGTGATAAAAAGCACCAATAATAATGAAAGAAAAACCAGTCAAATATTAATAAAGAAAACACTTTATCCGAGAAATTCAGACAGCTTAAAGACTATTATATCTGTTACTCTCTTTCTTTGTGCCATATCACTTTGAGGCATAAGCAATTATGACCCTTCACAGCTTTAGGCTTACAGCCATATCACTTTGAAACACTGGCTCTTGTACGATCACTGAAGTTATTCAATGCCAAGTCTGGTCAGTACTTGGATGGGTGACTGCTTGGGAATACCAGGTTCTGTAAGCATGGATGTGCAGGTGGTGTAAGGGATAATGACATGGAATTGCTAATCGGTGACCCGAGTTCTAATTCACATTGGCTTTGTTATATTCACTTACACACAAATGTCCTTGGGAGAGGTATGAATCTACATCTTCTCCCTCAGCTATGGGTTAATTTGTAATACTTTGATCATTGAACTATTATTATCTAAAAAAAAAAAAGAGAATGAAGATGAAAAAAATTGCATACAAAATATTTAGATTTGGCAAATAATCCATGATGGTTGATATGTTGTTAAACAAAATCAACCAACTTTCTGTCTCCAATCTCTCTAACTCTCTCTTTCTCTCGCATTATTACTCTCTTTTTCTCTCTCTCTCTCTTGCTTTTTCTCTTTGTGGTTATTGAATTATCTGTCTGCCAGTCAAGATTTCTATCTATCTATCTATCTATCTATGTAAGGATATTCATTATCTATGTATCTATCTATCTATCTATCTATCTATCTATCTATCTATCTATCTATCTCATTATGTATCTATCTATCTATGTAAGGATATTCATTATCTATCTATCTATCTATCTATCTCTTTCAGCTCTACTACCAATGTTATCACTCTCTCTTTCTTTCTCTAACACTCTCTTTCTTATTATTATTCTCTCTTTCCTCTCTCTCTCTCTCTTGTTTTTCTCTTTGTGGCTATTGAAGTATCTGTCTTCCAGTCAAGATTTCTATCTATCTATCTATCTATTCCTTCTAGCTCTACTACCAATGTTATTACTCTCTCTTTCTCTCTCTCTCTCTCTCTCTCTGCTTACAGCCATATCACATTCAAACACTGATTCTTGTATGATCAGCAAAGAGTGACCACTTGGGGATACCAAATACTTTAAGCTTGGATGTGCAGATGGTGTAATGGATAATGGCTCGGAATTGAAGAGCAAAGTTCCAATTCCAGTCAGGTTCGTCATATTTACTCAGATGCAAATTATCCTTGGGAAAGATATGAATCTATCTCTTCTTTCCCAACTATGGGATAATGAGTAGTTCTTGGTATCAGTAAATTATAATTATCTCCCCAAAATTCTTACAATCTAAAAATATTTTCTGTCTTTAAATAACCTGAAAGGGGTTGATAACCCATAAAAAATAAATCAATTCCATTTTAATCTATGTCTTTAATATTGCAAATTGCAAACTATGTTTGCGGAATTGTTTGTTTCCTATTGTCTCCTTCCTAGTTTTGAATTCAGAGTTATATTTAGAGAACACTGTCTTTCTTGCTTCCATAGCTGAAGGAATAGAAATGGATTCTTCCCTTTTCTAAGGGTGCGAGTACAGAATGCAAACCAACTGTCTCAGCTGGAATTTGACCTCAAGTGGCTGATTCCATATTTCATAGAAAGCAGGCTGCCACAAAATAAAAATGGACGTGGGGACTGTAAATCATCAGTTACCTCCCCTTAATATCTAGGAGGTATAAAAAGCACCCTGTAATATCAGTCAGTAGACGAATAGTCAGAGTAAAGTGCAATAAAGCTTTGGTATAAGTTTATTCACTGGTTCTGTTTTAATTACAGCAGCTAAATCAAACGTTAAATTTTAAAGATTCCTGATTCTATTTTTTAGCTCATCCTTGCCAAAAAATAAACTTTTTTTTTTTTAGATTTATTATCTATTTATTTGCTTTTGAATTTAAATACACTTTTTTTTTTTTTTGCTTTTTTACATGTACTTATTTTCTGGAATTAGATTTACAGACCTTTTCTGTATATAAGGCGATTTTCTAAGTGTAAGGCTGAAATTATAAGTCACGCAGTGAGGATCTAACACACTATTCAGTCATAATTGATCGAATGAGACATGCTCACGAAGCAGTACATATTTAAGACTCATATAAAAATTTTGAAAATGTTTTGGAAAAAAAGACAAGAGAAAAAGAAGTTTTCTGAATTATTTTGATAATTAATGGCAGTAATAATTTTAGACAAATGATACATTTTTAACATTTTTAGGAAGTGAGGTCAAGAGGTCAAATTTAATATTCTGTTCAGCTTTCAATTTTAGCAAAATGGTACAGGGCAGGGGGCTGAATATCAACCGCCAAACCTATTATAGTTGATGCTATATATATATATATATATATATATATATATATATATATATATATATATATAAATTAATATATTTAAAATAATTGATTTAAAATTTTTTTCGCTACACAGTTCTAACCATGTTTCAAAATGGAAGCTAAAAGCCCTGAATTTAATTTTGTAATTAAATTAAAGACATTAGTTCCATTTCATCCTCAAGCGAATTTTGGAGTAACTTTTAAAATTACTGGGTTTTAACCTTGGAAATGTGAATTAGGATTTTAGCTGTGTATTTAATGCTCTGTAAATCTACATCGAGCATTGTTTTTAAAATAAAAATATCTATAAGAACACCGGATTATATATCTTACTGTTCTTTCTTTTTATTTATATATATATATATATATATATATATATATTAATTTGTGATGTCAATTGTCGATCTGTTTATGTTATTTATAGTTTGCCGTAGACAATCCCAATTTGGTTTTGATGTTATTTTGTTGAAGTTACCAGTTCAATTTTTCTAGCTTTGTTCAAAATTTGTCTTTATTTTTTACCAGCATTTCTGTCATGAATTTAAGGTAAGTCCTTTTCATTTTCTTTTCAGGCTGGATTGAAAGCAAGAGATTTGCTAGATTTGTTCAAACTTCTATTTGGATTCTATACCCTCTACTGACATACAACTTGTGAGACACGAAAGACACAAAGGCAAATCTATACTTAATCAGAAAATGCAAAAATTTCTTGCTCTCAACCCATTCCAATAGAAATTAAGAAGGATTTACTTTAGATTCTCTGCAGGAGAACTGGGAGAAAATAAAAACAATTTTCAAAGTCAGATCATTTACATCGAACATTATATATATATATATATATATATATATATATATATATATATAGATAGATAGATATAGATATTGATAATATTAGTATATATATATATATATATATATATATATATATAGATAGATAGATAGATATAGATATTGATAATATTAGTATATATATATATATATATATATATATATATATATATATATTTATATATATATATATAAATTCCCAAGAGGAGAGAATCCAGGTAGAACTCAATGTCCAGGACAGAGTAAGACTAACCATGGAATATTAGTGTTTGAGCCTTTTATATATATATATATATATATATATATATATATATATATATATATATATATATATTTAAGTTATGAAAACTTGGAAATGTATGGGTAGTCCGAGGAGGATGAAATCCTGAGAGCTCAATGTAAGACCAGAGCTTATATATATATATATATATATATATATATATATATATATATATATATATAAAGGGATGTAAATGAGTAATTAAAAGAGACTTACATTTATAAAAAACAAAATAACATCTACAACAATCTCTTAGATGCATAAGTATCCTCCCAAGTGAGTACTCTGTAGATATTATTAAACTCCTAGTGGATTTCCCCACATTTTTTTTTTACACTCTGGTCACCTTCCCACCAAGATGGCTTCCTTTCCTCTCTCCGGGTGGCCCCTCTCCCTCTCCCTCTCTCTCTCTTTTTCTCTCTCTCTCTCTCTCTATATATATATATATATATATGAGGCTAGGTCAATGATTGGTCCATAATAATCTTATAACTATTCCCATGCAAATAAATTAGCAGTGCTACCTGTGTAGATCTACCTTTTCAAAACTGCTGTTTTGCCAAGGGGAATTAACTCAACAACAAGGACATTGTTTTAACTCAGTAGATAGAATCACCGATTGCTGCAATTATAGCTGGCAGTCCTTTTGTGTCTGTCTCTACCAGCTTTGTACATCTTGAGATTGAAATTTTTGTATGTTCTTCTTTGCAAAATAGCTCAAGATCAGTCAGATTGGTTGGAGACTGTCTGTGAACATCAATTTACGAGTATTGCCATCAGTGGTCGACCTACATTTTCGGATCCCCGAAGCTTGAATAGATATGTGGATCCTCTTCACAACCAAAAACAATCCTCCTGCCAAAAAAGTAGGCTATGAATAAATTCTGACAAACTCAATGAACCAATACAGCTGGGGTTTTGAGAGCTGTTAACCCCCAAGAAAATTTCTAAATTTGACCAATTACAGGAATATTTTCAGGTCATATAAAATGGGTATTAGAGCACATTCTAAGGTTAAGATTACTTTCAACACATTGGCTTATGGTTTGTTTGGTTTGGTTTGTTTTACGGCATATCAACCTCAATGGGTCATTTAATGCTGACAACTTTTTTTTTCTGGTAATATTTTTGTTTTGTCAAAAATCTATTTCTGTTAATATTTTTTTCCTCAAAAACGTATAGCTGGTAATATCATTTTTCCAAAAACGTATAGCTGGTAATATCATTTTTCCAAAAACGTATAGCTGGTAATATCATTTTTCCAAAAACGTATAGCTGGTAATATCATTTTTCCAAAAACGTATAGCTGGTAATATTATTTTTCCAAAAACGTATAGCTGGTAATATTATTTTTTCAAAAACGTATAGCTGGTAATATCATTTTTCCAAAAACGTATAGCTGGTAATATCATTTTTCCAAAAACGTATAGCTGGTAATATCATTTTTCCAAAAACGTATAGCTGGTAATATCATTTTTCCAAAAACGTATAGCTGGTAATATTATTTTTTCAAAAATATACAGCTGGCAAAAGCATATTATCAGAGGCCTTGCTATTGGACATAGTTTATTGTCTTACCCAGGATGCGAATGTAGTTTATGGTCATACCCAGGATGCAGATTTAGTTTATCGTCATACCCAGGATGCGTATGTAGTTTATCGTCATACCCAGGATGCGGATTTAGTTTATCATCATACCCAGGATGCGGATTTAGTTTATCGTCATACCCAGGATGCGGATTTAGTTTATCGTCATACCCAGGATGAGGATGTAGTTTATCGTTATACCAAGGATGCAGATTTAGTTTATCGTCTTACCCAGGATGCGGATATAGTTTATCGTCTTACCCAGGATGCAGATGTAGTTTATCATCATACTCAGGATGCGGATGTAGTTTATCATCATACCCAGGACATGGATGTAATTTATCATCATACCCAGGACGCGGATGTAGTCTGGGTACTAACTATTTGCCCATAGGTGTTAGTACCCTGGGTCTGGGTGGACCTGGGAACACCAGCAGTTAAGAGGTGGTTCCACGCTTCTCAAAACCTCCTGATCAGAGGCCTTGCTGCTGGATGTAGTTTATTGTCATACTCAGGACACGGATGTAGTTTAATGTCATACACAGGATGACCATTGGCTTATGATTCTATCAGTAAAATGGCCTTGTTTTAATAACAAAGACTTAAAAAACATTATTTATTCTGATGAAAAATTCACTCATTAAAAAAACAAACTTCATGGCCACTTGGGATTTTGGGGCTTAAGTTTAAGCTTAATTAGTTTCATTGTAGATTTACCACTGCTTGCCACATATTCTCAATTTGATTTAGGACCGAACCATTTTAAGACATTAATATGCTTTGATCTAAACCATTCCATTGTAGCTTTAGTTTAGTGCTGTTGTCCCATTGGAATGTGAATCTTTGTGCAGTTTCAAGTCTTTTGCAGACTGTAACAAGTTTTCTTTGAGGATTGTTCTGTATTTGGCTCCATCCAAATTCCCATCTTTGCTGTCCTTGTTGGAGAAAAGAATACCCACAGCATAATGCTGTCCCCAGCATGTTTCATGGTGGGAATGGTGTGCTTATGGTGATGTGCAGCATTAGGTTTCTGTCACATGTAGCATTTTGCATTCAATTTTGGTCTCATCAGACCAGAGCACATGTTTGCTGTGTCTCCCGCATTGCTTGTGGTAAATGGCAAATGGGACTTCATGTAACTCTCTTTCAATAATGGCTTTTATCTTGTTACTAATTTCATAAAGTCCAGATTTGTGGAGTTCCCAACTAGTAGTTGCCATGTGGACAGATTCTCCCACCTGAGCTGCGGATCTTTGCTGTTCCTCCAGACTTACCATAGACCTTTTGGAGAGTGTAGAATCAAGGCACATAACTCTTTTTCTTTCTTTTCTTTACTCATTACAAGTTATATGACTTTTGGAGACAGTTGGTCACACTGGATTTTACTTAGTGGTTTCACAGTAAAGTGGAAGTGAATACCTATGTACTCAACACTTTGCATATTTTTATTTGTAAATAATGTAAAAGACCATGTAATATTACATACCCCAATGGAAGTGTAGCCAAAATTTCTCATGAATGTTTTCATTTCATTTTTCTATTTTTCCACTGAATAATGCATGTATGTATATAGGTGTGGTGGGGTATGTGTAACATTATGATAGGTAAAAATCATTATTATTTTTATTTTTTAATTTTTGAAAAAAGGGGGTTTATTTGTTATATTTAAAGCTGGTTATTTGTTTGTTTTTGATGACTGTGTATATGTAACAGGTAGAAATTTGTAATTCTTTTTGGTTATTTTATATGGTGATGTTTAATATTTAATATGCTGGGCGAGAGAGTAGTTTATGTTAATAATTATAGCGGGTCTATATGATAATAGATGTGATGTGATAGTAATGTTGTAATATATATTTATAATAATCTGGAACATAATACATGTTTCAAGATAAATATTAATGATATTAGCCAATGTATTTGTAGGAATTCTGACCAATACCCATTGCTAAACAAATGTTTAACTAAATCTCCAGTTTTTTTTGTACTATCTTTATAATAGAGAACCCAACGGTTGAAAAATTCTATATTGGTAGTACTAAGAATTCTTTTAAGACTAGGTGGTATCAACATACTTTGTCCTTTACCAAACTACTTACAGTTGAAACATGACTGCAATTGTGCAGTGATTTTACATGGTTTTGGTGCAATATCTTAAAATAAATAATATAGCTCTACTCTGTATTGAGCCCTATTTTAATTTAAATGTTATGAATGTTGGAATTGTACTCAATTCCTTCCCATCATACCTATCAATATATATATATATATATATATATAAAAGTGAACATAGAAGTCAACACTTAGAGGCGACAGTCTGTTTCATGCTATATGCAATCGTCAGGCCTGGATTCTGACAAGAAAAAAACAACTTTCCTAGCAGTAGATCTAGCAATTGATTCATTTATGTGCAAAATGTATTCTGACAAGAAAAGTTTTCTGGCATGACAGTAGTTGAAGCACTAGGGTAAAATGCTCGTTAGAACATTTGTAGAAAAGACAGAGAGAAGCTACATCATGTCGATGAGAAAGTGAATGAAGTCAAGATGCCTGGTCAGGATCAGTTACATTACAGATCCTTCTTTGGATTTTGTCAAGAATCTCAAGATATACAGCAGGAGCACCAGACCAGATATGGCAACAGTATTCAATGCATGGATGAATGGTAGATTTATAAATGTACAAGATGGATTCTGACAAGAAAAAAACAACTTTCCTAGCAGTAGATCTAGCAATTGATTCAATATAATCTTTCCACTTCATACCAAATCTTTTAACCTTTTAGGAAGACAGAAGATGGCAATTTTTGAAGATTATAGGCAGGGAAGCAAGAAATTGGAAGTTCGATATATGAGAAAAAAGCTATTAGAATAACAGATATGGTTGCATCTAGCTAGTTCAAGAATAAAATGGTGAGACATTGTTTTGCCAGTCTAGTGGCACATTTAAATTCATACAGTCTAGGCACCAAGGAGGAAAGCTCATCAGAACAATTGCCACGAAAATATTCATAGAAAAGATAGAGGGAGGCTATGTCATGGCGATGAGAAAGTAACTCTAGGATTGATTACATTACAGACCCTCCTCTGAATTTTGTCAAGAATCCTGCAATATATAGTAGGAGCACCAGACCAGATATGGCCACAATATTCAGATAAATGGTAGATTTATAAGTGTGCAAAATGGATTCTGATGAGAATTGCCTGTCACAACACAGTTAACCAAATTTACTGTTACTATTTATAACAGACATAAAGTACAATGGCTTAGATCTTGTGACTATAACAACCAAGACAAGGATACTAGTTAAATCAGATTAATGCGAAATAATTTATATTCATATTTAAAAAAAAATCTTTTTCACAGTGATGGTCATAAGTAACTTTAATCAAGTTTGATTTGAACTTTGCCATCAATATACACACTTTTATAATATGAGTTTTAAGAAAATATGTTCTTTACATATACATGGAATTTAATCAACATCTGCCTCAATCAAAAATGCATATAAAAATTTTATATGTGCCTTGATATGTTTTTACCTGAATTTCAATGAGTCATTTGTATATTTTCTGAAAAACAAGACTATACAGTCACAAGGATAGAAGCAGTCATACACAGGTGTATACATGAATAGTATTATCAGAAGATGAATTCTCATATTTTTACCTGAATTTCAAATCTGCATTCTCTTCTGCAAACTTGGGCACCCCCCCACCAGTAACTGACTTCCCCTGCCCTAGCTATCAGTCAAGAGAGTCTTAATTTTCATCTTTTACAATATGAGCAGCTTCTGCCTCCATTACCTGCAGGCATTTCTGCAAAGCTATACCTTTGTGTATTGTCTGAAGATCAAAAAATTATAGAAGCAGGAAAGAAAGAGAGAAATATTAAATAAAATTCCTCCTCCCTCACCCGAAATGCTGAAAACAAGCAATTAATTTTACAAAGGGAAACAGTCAGCAGGAAAGAAAGAAAGAAAAAATTAAATGGATGAAAGAAAGAAAGAAAGAAAGAAAGAAAGAAAGAAAGAAAAGAGACTAAAAGAAAAAGAAAGAAAGAAAAGAGACTAAAAGAAAAAGAAAGAAAGAAAAGAGACTAAAAGAAAAAGAAAGAAAGAAAGAGGCTGAAAAAAGAAAGAAAGAAAGAAAGAAAGAGGCTGAAAGAAAGAAAGAAAAGAAAGAAAGAGGCTGAAAGAAAGAAAGAAAGAAAGAGGCTGAAAGAAAGAAAGAAAGAAAGAGGCTGAAGGAAAGAAAAAAGAAAGAAAGAAAGAAAGAAAAGAGACTGAAAGAAAGAAAGAAAAAAGAGACTAAAAGAAATAAAGAAAGAAAGGAGACTAACAGAAAGAAAGAAAGAAATAAAGAAAGAAAAGAGACTAAAAGAAAGAAAGAAAAGAGACTAAAAGAAAGAAAGAGGCAAACACAGAAACAGTCAGAGGATGGAAATAACAAAAGAAAAGAGAATAAAATAAAGAAAGAAAATGAACTAAAAGAAAGAATTAAATGGAAATGGAAAAAAGAAAGAAAGAAAAAGAAATAAAGAAGGAAAGAAAGAAAGAGAAGAGACTAAAATAAATAAAGAATGAAGCAAACAAAAACAAACAAAATGGAAGGAAATGAAAAAGGAAAGAGAAAGAAAGAAAGAAAAGGAACTAAAAGAAAGAATTCAATGGACAGAAAAAAGAGACAAAAAAAGAAAGAAAGAACAATGCAAACAAACAAAAAAGAAACAAAAAATGTAATGAACAGCAAAAAAGAAAGGAATAAAAGAAAGAAAGAAAGAATGGAAAAAGAAATGAAGAGAAAGAAAGAACTCAAAACAATAGGAGGAATAAATAAAGAAGAATAGAAAAAAACAAGGAAAGAGAAAAATACTAAAATCAATGAAAAAAAATATAAGTGAATAGAAATGAGGGAAAAGTAAAGATGGAAGGTATAATGAAAAGATCAAATGAGAAAAGAAAGATAACAGTAAAAGAATGCATGTTATAGCATAACAAGAAAATAGAGAGGAAGAGATGAAAGAATGAATAAGTTCAAAAATATTTTAATCTCTTAAAGAAGAGTTGAACAGTGAATGCGAGAGAAGAAAAGAAGGGGTGTTAGAAAAAGAAGAGATAGAAAGATCACAATGCAGAGATATATTATTATTTTTCTTTTTAAAAGTGAGCAACAGAAAAATAAAATAAAAATCTGAAATTATCAACCTCCATAGCCCATCACATCTTTCCACCCACCCGGTCTCCTTAACCACAGCAACCAAATAAAATTAAATTATTTCAGAACAAAAATACAAAACGCCATCAAAAATCTAATCAAGTTTTCGGGAAAAAAAAAAGAGGGGAGAAAATAAGAAACAAATTTATTAAAAATATGAAGAATAATGAATAAAAAAAACGATAGAAATAAATGTTAATATTAAAGCAAATCAATTGAGGAATATACAAATAAAATTAAAACTGATTGAGAAGGGGAGATAACCTAGAAGGAAATCAAAGAAACTATCACTGACGAGAATAGAATAAAAGAGAATAACAAAATAAAACAGTTTACAATGCAATATGATATAATAGAACCGAATGGGATGAAATGGTAGAGAATAAAAATGAAATACAACAGAATGTTGAATATGAATTATACTTTGGAATAGAATGGAATGAAACAGAATGAAAATATATTATTCTTCATGCTATGATAGAATGGAACAAAATGAAAATTAATAGAACAGAATTGAAAATAAGGAGTCAAAGAGTTCACATTACAGAATGACAGAATAGAATAGAAGACAACAGAATGACAATGAAACTGAGCCATGAATTGTATGAAAATATAGAATCAAACAGTAAAAGAGATTAAAAAAAAAATTAAGAAATTTAAAACAGAAAATTACTTCCTCAAACAAGCTGGGCAGCACAGAATAAAATGGTGAGGGGTTAAATCAAAAGTTAAAAATGTGTGAGGGTATGTCTGTTAAATTCCATGTTGTGTTTCAAAAATTCCTGATTTTACATTTTTGAAAACTGACACTCTCATCAAACAAACATTGTTTTCTTGAATATATTAAAGTCTTTGGCCCCATGGATTGTTGTCCTGTGGAGGGGGCTATTGGATTTTGTGCTGCTGACAGATTTTGAATGTCAGTGTACCACAATAAACAAAATGAAGACATGAATAGAAAATGAATTGCCAATGTTTATTGATGCATGTAGGTACAAAGATGTGAATGTGTGGAGAATGGTCAACCTCAAGTCAGCCTGATACTGAGTGAGGGTGGATGAAACTCCCCTGCATTGGCATGGCAAACAAACATGTCTGAACTCAATGGTTGGAAGTTGAAAAGAGAACACTCATCTCCTTTCTGGAAGTGGTGTCATAAAATTTGCATGTGACCAGAAACCCTTTTTGGTTTTTCCTTTTGCATTATGGGAAAATGAAATTCTTTATTCTTTTTATTATTATTTTACTTATTAGTTTATTTTCATTCTCCTATAGTCATCATCTTTATTGTGAGATTCATGACATTTTGGCCATTTCAGGAATTTCTGCACTTGGTGGGCCTTGACTTTATGTCTGCAGGATTTATCCAGATCATGATGGATTCTGTTTCAGTCTTCTTTGTTGGTAATTCTGTTGAAGAAGGCTTCAAGCCTGTAGGAGATATCGAATTGCAACTGATGTTTTTTTACGATTGTACTGGATTCTTTCTTGGACAATGGTGTGTCCTGCTTTTTCTGTGACCAGACAGGCACTCCTTGAATTGACCAGAAGTCTTGGTGCCAAGCCTGAATGGTTGAGTTGTAAATATCTGCATCGGTATAGATGGTTCGACATTCGTTCCAGCTTCTGGTGGGACTTTTCTAATTGTCTCTATATTTTTGGTATATTGGGTCTGTATCAATCCTTTAACATCTGTCTATATTTCTGAGATGATGTGTTGTAACTATTTGCATATTCACAGAATAAAAAGGGGAGGGGTTAAATCACATGTTAAAAGTGTGTGTGTGGGGAGTGATAATTTCCATGTTGAGTTTTAAAAATTTTTGATTCTATATTTTTAACAGACCCTCTCATAAAACAAACATCTTTTTTTTTTAAATATATTAAAATTTTTGACACTATTTATATTATTTGGGCTGTTGTCCTTATTTTTATTGTCTTGTTCATGACGTTTCGGCCATTAACTGACCTTGACTGCATAAAATTTATGTCTGTAGGATTTATCCAGATCATGCTTGATTCTGTTTCAGACTTCTTTGTCAGTAATTCTGTTGAAGAACGCTTCAAGCCTCTGGAGATATCAGATTGCAAATGATGTTTTATCCAATGGGTATACAATATTCAACAGTCTGAAAAATGTAAATAGTTACAATACCTCATCTCAGAAATATAAGAAAGATCCTGAAGAAGGCTGGAGCATACAATGGCTGAAACATCATGAATGTGACAATAAAAATGAGGATAACAGTCCAAACAATGTGAATAGTGTAAATAGTTACAATACGTTATCTCAGAAATATAGAAATATAGACAGATGTTAAAGTTTTTGATTTTGATTTTTTTTAAGTGCATAATTTTTGAGGGCCTTTTGTTGCACTTATTTTGTGGAATGAGACTTAGAAACATTTTACATGTCTTCTTCTTCAAGTTCCATGCAAGATACAGTAGACTGGTTTCCAACCAAGGCTTATTGATTCCTGATTGATTTGGTGAAAGAATTCCCACACTAGACTATTGCTACTTTATATAGTAGACTACTTTCAAGCCAAGGCTATAGCACCTTGCTATTTAACCCATAGCAGGGGAAGAATAGATGGATTTATACTTTTTGAATTGTACTTGTGCATAAGTGAATGTAACACACTCAGCTGGAATTTAAAATAGGCTTTCCAATTTCTCATTCTGAGTGATTATATAATACAACCCTGCACATCCAAGCTTACAGCACCTGTTATTCCTAAGCAGTCTCTCATCTAGGTACTGACCAGGTACAACATTGCTTAACTTTAATGATTGGTGGAGAACTGTTGTTTCAATGTGATATGGCCATCACCTTTTACATACAGACTTATATAAGAGTTTTAGAAGCTAATGTTTTGGAAACAAACAAAAAAATTCTGAAATATGAAGTTTTCTGTTTTATTAAAAAAAATAATGGCAGTAAATAAAATTGTTAGATGCAAAGAAGAGTGTTGGATTGCAAGGTGATATCCATCGTCTTATATGTCATGATTTGACTAAGATCATTCTTCTTCTATGTGATATTCTCAACGACTTGGTTAGCACAGGTGATTCCATTCTTAACAGTTTGGGTGGCACAGGTGATTCCATTCTTAACAGTTTGGGTGGCACAGGTGATTCCATTCTTAACAGTTTGGTACAGGTGATTCCATTCTTAACAGTTTGGGTGGCACAGGTGATTCCATTCTTAACAGTTTGGAAAAAAAAACAGGTGATTCCATTCTTAACAGTTTGGGTGGCACAGGTGATTCCATTCTTAACAGTTTGGGTGGCACAGGTGATTCCATTCTTAACAGTTTGGGTGGCACAGGTGATTCCATTCTTAACAGTTTGGGTGGCACAGGTGATTCCATTCTTAACAGTTTGGGTGGCACAGGTGATTCCATTCTTAACAGTTTGGGTGGCACAGGTGATTCCATTCTTAGCAGTTTGGGTGGCACAGGTGTGTAAGCAATCTGGGATTGCAAAGGAAATGTTTGGCGTAGATTATTTCCATGTCAAAGAGAATAAATCACTAAGTTCAGACTCAAACATCGGGAGGCAGAAAGAAATGCCGAAATCTCGATTTGCAGGTACTATCTCACAATGCACACAACCAGTCAAAAAAATAACCCCTTCTCCAACAAACGCAGTAGCCAAAATACCCGAATTTTCCTTCCCCAATTCGAGAACACCAACTGCGTTTATCGGCCAAGCATTTTTTCCATTTGCCGACAGCTGGAAAAGGATGTTCAGTAATTTGCATATCAAAATACTTTTATAGCGACTCCTGCGACGGACTTGTTTTTTAATTCAAATATTCCATTTTCAGCATGTCATGCGGAAATGTGCCCTTTTGTTTTGTAAGTAATTTTCTTTTTTGCCACATTTTCCATCGTAGAATAAACGCGACATGCTGTCGCTTGGTTTGACAAGGTAAGTCGCCGTTTTCTTTGCTATAAGGTGAGACCATTTTTAGCAGTTTGGTTGGCATAGGTGATTCCATTCTTAACAACTTGCGTGGCACAGGTTAGAAGATATGAGAAAAAAACTACTATTCAGGATCGGAGGATAATAAAAGAATAAAAGAACAAGAATACAGAAGACAGAAGATAATGATTGACATTGCATTTACATTTTTAAAGACCAACTTGACTACCTGTTTGGGGAACTGTTTTCCAG